TTCGTGGCCCTCCAGCTGGCCTGGAGGTGGGGGCCCTCGCCCGGGGGGAGGCCCCCGGCCTTCTCCTGGGCCGTCGCCGTGGGGCGCGGCGTGGCGCTCGCCCTGGCGGCTTGTGCCCTCGCCCGCTACGGCGGGGGCGAGCTTCGCGCGCGGCTGCTGCAGGGCGCCGTGGTCCTCTCCTTCCAGATGCCCGGGTACATCAGCCTGCAGTACCTCTTCCAGCCCACAGGGGGCGCCCCGGAGCTGGCCTACAGCTGGGGCAGGAGCGACGTCCTTGTTCTCAACTACCTGGTGGTGGTGGCCGTGACCCTGCTGTGGCACCACCTCCTCCCTTCGGGGGGCAGAGGGTCAGAGAAGAAGCCCTCGGCGTCCTTGGGGTGCCTCATCTCCAGCATGCGGCCAGAGGCGCTGCGGTTTGTGGCCATCACCGTCCTTATGGTGATGTCCTCCATGGGTAAGTGGGCCTTTTTGGGTGGAGGTGCATAAGGGGGGCTTACCATGTGGCCCTCCTCCAGCCCCCTCAATCAACCGTATTAAGGATTTGTTGCGCGGAGTCAAAAAAGTCAAAATGGTGGTGGTCACAATCCTCCTCCTTTTTTAATGCGTGTTGCAGGAGCAGCCTCTGTGAAAAAGGGGCAGGGCTTCAGTGCTGTGACCTTCATCTTGACTGTTTTGACCTCTTGGCAGATGCCCCTGCTTGCATTAGATGTCCTGCTATATCTACTTAAAATTGTAGTGGGGAAAAAAACCACATCCCAAAGCAGACACTCACAAAAAACTAAACATTCTCTTCTAAATTGGCTCCAACCCTCCTCCTGTTATCCCGCTGCATCTGCTGTTACTTCTGTAAATTTCCAAGAGTTATACTTGGCTTTTCTAAAGACAGAATAAGCAGGCCTCATAATACAGGCGCCTTTCTTCAGCTAATATTTAGGAATGTCAGGGAATTGTGGGAAAACTGAGGAAATGGGCTCTTTTTTAAAAAAAATCTAAATAAATTCTAAATAAATAGATGAATACATTTAACAGGGCTCTTAAATCAGGGACAAGGTTTCTTTTCAGGCTGGGGCAGAAGCCTGAGAAGTGACCTGTTGCTTTAATGAGGAAGAGGGACATCCTGGAATCGTGAGAGGCCCGCAGCATTTTTCCTAATTGTTTTTTTTAAAATAATAAAAATGATAAAATAATAAAATAAGAACTTGGTTTTTCACGTTGATGAGAAGGCCTGTCAGGAGAATGCGATTCTCTCCTCCCTTCTCCACCCCGGATCTTATCTCGAGCTTTCACTGTACTTTATTACAAACAGAAAATAAATCTGCTTTCCACGCTGCTGCTGGCCAGCTTCTGCCGCAGCTCCCGGCTCCTGCATCTCTCTTGTGAGGCCCCTGATCTCTCTCTCTGGGTCTTTCAGGGGAGATGGCGATTCCGTATTATACCGGGCACGTGACCGACTTGATTGCAAGCAAGAAGGAAGCCTCGGCCTTCACGAGGGCTCTGTGCATGATGTCCTTTTTCACCGTGGGCAGGTATGAAATAGAGGCGGGGGCGGGGGGGGAACTGGCTGGGTTTCTTTTCCAAGGCAAAGTTGCACTGACCTAATTTTGCACGTTCAAACCTACGCATGAATCAACCTGCATTACCCTTTGACATTCACAAATTTTGCAGTGCGTTTTACTAACAGTAGTAGGAAACAGGTTGATCAAAAAGGAATGCACTTGGAAAGGCATTATGTGTGTGTGTATTTATATATAGAAAGTGAGAAGAGTATATTAATAATAATGTATTAATAATATAAGCATATTAATAATTCTGTTATACTAAATTCTATTAGTATTTCCGAGAATCACGCATGGTAGGCAATTGTTGCAAACAGAAAAGCGTACGTTTGAAGTAACGTGCACCAAAATGCATAACCCTTTAGGACAAACTGAACTCAACTGTACTATTGTGGGGGAAATGCCCACTTAAATTAGGACTGAAAGCAGTTGGCGATAGGTGCCCAATAAAAGTCTCTTTTATTGACATGTACAACTACAGTAATCACTGGCCTCCTCACCAAAGGGATGCCCAAGAGCCCGAAGCCTGCAAGGTTACAAGTTATATTCCCTCTGAAATGATGCATAAGATTGACAAAGGCCAGGCAAATTATAGCGGGGCCTTTACAGCCAGAATAGAGCATCTGATGAGAACTTGAGGTCATCTTAAAATGGGCTGACCCAGAGCCTCTAAATCAGTGTTTCTCAGCCTTGGCAACTTTAAGTCACTGGACTTCAATTCTCAGAATTCCCCAGCCAGCATGCTGGCTGGGGAATTCTG